ATGAATGAATGAATGAATGAATGAATGAATGAATGAATGAATGAATGTTTGGGCCATCTAAATCTCAGAGGTAAGTGTGATGGTGCTCATGGAAAGGAAATAGTGCGATGGATTACAGTGAAGCAGCAGTTTCCCAGGAAGGAAGAGGGTGCACATTCCAGAAAGGCCAGGGGAGACAAGAGGCAGCACAACTTGGATAGAAGATTGAGGAAGAGAATAAGGATAGCCGTTCCATAAATGGAATCTTCCAGGATCCAATAGGCTGAGAGTAATAAGGGTTTTATTCTGGCAAGATTCTATCTGTTATGTGTAAGGAAATAAAGAACTGAAATCTTGCTGAATTGTTCTTGGACTTAACCTGGCACCACATCTGGTGAGGCATACTTCCTGCTTCCTTTTAGATGGCATTGTTTAATGGAGGAAGTAGCACTACATGGAATGAAGAGACAGGATAAACAGAGAGGTGTTCTGCCCAGCCTTATGCTATGAAGGGTCTTATAGGTCAAAACCAGCACTTTGAATGGCATGGAAGTCCACTGAGAGCTGGTTCAGCTCACATACTAGACTTGTACATGCAGTGGTGGGATTCAATTGTTTTTACTACCGGTTCTGTGGGCGTGGCTTGGTGGGTGTGGCAGGGGAAGGATACTGCAAAATCTCCATTCCCACCCCACTCCTGGGGGAAGGTTACTGCAAAATCCCATTCCCTCCCCACCCCCACTAACCTGCTTTCCAGCTCCATTCTCCTGAGCAGGGCAACAAAAGAAGACCCAGCTGATCAGCTGGGACTCGAGAGGCAGAGGATAGATGGGGGTGGGGCCAGTCAGAGGTGGTATTTGCCGGTTCTCCAAACTCAACATTTCTGCTACCGGTTCTCCAGAACTGGCTAGAACCTGCTGAATACCACCTCTGTGTACATGGGTGAACTAAGGCATGCCCATAATTATCCATGCTGCTACATTTGGGACCAACTGCAACTTCTGAGTCTTCTTCAAGGGCCGCACAAGTATAATGCATTGCAATAGTCTATACAGGAAGTGATCCCAAATAGATATTGTAACTGGGCATCTTCATTAAACTGATGGTTCCTAAACTCATACGATCAGATGGCCTTACCCAGGGGCCTCATGTAGATGTTAAAAGAAGTGAGCAGAACGTACAACACTTTAAAAACTCCACCCATTAAAATTTAGGGTAAGACTTCTCTTCAGCTATCAGCCAGAAGTAACCCTGGAGGAAAGAGAACACTGCAACACCTCCCACTTCAAATTTCATAGTCATTTCAGAAGGCTACAACAGAATTACCCTGACCAAGACTAACATATGTCTTCAGTGGAGCATGAAACTATTTTTACTGCAACCATACATGATGTGGGCTTCCTTCTCTGTTTCATATCTTAAAAAGGGAAGATGGTGGAGGCAGTCAGGCAAAGGGGGAACATGTTGTCAAATACTAACTAATAAATAGATGAAAACAACAGAAGGGGAGAAAGCTTCTGACACTTCCAGGTTCAAGGGGAGGGGGGGAGGAGAGATTGAAAACAGAGGGAGAGGTGGTGTGGGACCAGACAAGGCAAAAAACAAGGAGCTTGAGACCAGATAGGACTGTTTTATAAATAGATTGTGCTAAAACTCCCTCCCTCAAAAGCTGATTGCAACAAAAAGTTGGGAGAAATAAACTCAGAATTTAACCATGAGCCACACATATGCATATAGAACCAGATTCTTAGTCCAAATAGGAGCTAAACTTCAGTATAACCATAAGAGACTTATTCAAGCCTATTCTTGACTTCCCATGAGAGCATCTACTAAGTATAAAGAATTATAGCAGTGGCCTGGGGCATCCTATGACACCAACTACATACCATACTTGTGGGTTAGGGGTCATTTGCCAGATGCCCTAGATCAGGGGGTAGAGAAACTTGACTCTTTTATCACTTATGGACTTCAACTCCCAGAATTCCTGAGTGAGCCATAAAAGTTTCCTCATCCCTGGCCTACTGGTTTTTCAGTTGTGGGGGAAATCAATTTTTGACTTGAATGGGGACTGTTTAATATACAAATGTAGGATATATGTAGGCCAGGGATGGGGAAACTTTTATGGCTCACTCAGGAATTCTGGGAGTTGAAGTCCATAAGTGATAAAAGAGCCAAGTTTCCCTACCCCTGCCCTAGATCATGATTGTCAAACTGGTGGCCCAGGGACTGGATGTGTTAGATACAGGGCACATCCCTCCAGATCGGCGAATGGGAACAATGGCAATGTTAGGGATAACATTGTTTACCCTAACTGGTTTGGGTAAAAATAATAAATAAGGTATCATGGTTTGTTAGTTAAAGTGTGTGTAACTTTAACTGCAAGAATGTAATTAAGGGAGTGGTTGTAAAAGCACTATATAAGAAGCGAGGCAATTGCAGCTCGCTCGCTCTCTGTCTTACTGATCCCTAATTACTTGATGGATTGATGCCTGCATTCTTGCTGGAAAGGGGAGAGAAGAAGGAGTGTTTATTTTTCTCAACGGAGAGAAGATAAGATTTATTGTAAGTGTACTGACATTGGCTATTCAACACGGACTTTGCAAATAGAGTATCCCCAACAAGAATTGACTGAAATTGATATATGACTAATGGACCGTTTATATGACTATGCTATACTTCTTAAATGGAATAAACTATATTTTTGATAGCACAAGCATATCTGTATTTTTACTGCGTGTTAACTAAAAAACTTATCTCACACATTTACCTGTCTTCCTATCTGACTTCGCTGCACGTTCTGTTTAGTTTGTTTTCCTTAACACCCGTTGGGGAATCCAGGCTTAACAGGCAACATGATGCAGCAAGTTTGACACCTGTGCCCTAGATGCTCCAAATCTGGCTTGTTGAGAAAAGAGATGCCCAAGCCCTTGAGAATTCAAAGGCTGAAAACCAGACATGTAACCAGACATGGAGCTATATATCACCATTCAGTCATTTCTTTTACCCTGTAGAGTCAACCTGGACTTGAAATACAATCACAAACACTAAGAGATTCTGGCAACTTCAGTGAATTCTCTGTTAAACAGATATAAGATCTATTTACTTTACTGTCCAGTTCTGATGAGACTGATGATGGCTAGCTTGCATCACAGAACACACCAGTAGTGGGATCCTACCTTAATTGTTACCGGTTTGGTGGATGATTTCACATACGCACATACGTGCACGCCCCTAATGCACGCACACTTAACAAGCCAATCAGCTGAGAGGATGAAGAAACGAAAAGCTAGGAGTGACCCTCCCACCCTCCCATGTGCTTTTCGGTCTTTTATCAGCTGACTGTCGGAGGCATTTTTTCCTCCTCTCAGCTGATCGGAGGTGTTTTTTTTTTACTACCTGTTGTGCCTAACTGGTAGTGATTTTTTACTTCCGGTTTGCCTGAACCGGACTGAACCGGTAGCATACCACCACGGGAACACACAGAACTCCTATAACTCACAGTGGCAATCATCAGAAATCCCAGTACTTTTATTTAATCGTCTCATTACATTTTCCTATAGTCTTGAGAATAGTCTGGATGCAGACTCTCGGTATGCACATCCATTAGGATTCAAAGCTGGTTTCTAGAAGTTCTGTGGACCGCAGTAAGAGTCAATTGATCAGTCCTGGATCAAATGAAGACTAACCGCTCTATTAAAATGAGGATCAGGAATCAGAATTTTAGGTATGTGTAGATAACGAATGGCAAAAAATGATTATCCTTGGCTAGATAATGGATAAAATGGATGTATGGTATTAAATGAATTATTGCAATGTTCTTAGAAGGGCTCTGAGTTATTATTAAAGAAAGATCAAGATGATGAGAATTTGTTCATACATTTCCCAAGTATGGAGGATGACCTTGAGAGAAATATGCCAGGACTGTTGTCCAAGCAATGAGGGCTAAGCATTCTTTAAATCCTGGGAAGAAAGATAATATTTTGATGCGACCCAATCAGATGCCACTCTGTTCACTGGGATATTGTATAATAGGGGGAAGAAGGACTTAGATTCTATTGTTAAAGCTTATCTCTAGTCTGCCTGTGGAATTGTTTCCTGGTCTGGTCTACTTCATGGAGCGGACATCAGGAGCGAAGTCATTTTGATAGCATCTAAATAGCAATTATTAATATATATATATTCTTATAGGAAAAAAACATTGGGGAAAGTGCTATCAAAATTGTCCATTTCTAAGTATAGCATTAGGAATCTAGATAAGACCTTCTATCTATCTAAGATATATAATCAATGCCACATATTTCAGCAAACACTTCAGTCAGAGGTGGGCTGCTGCAGGTTGGATGGGTTCGGCCAAACCCCTTGTTCCAATCCTGTGTGGTTTGGAAAACCAGAAAATTGGACCACCGGCTGGCCCCACTCCCACCTGTTTTTGGGGCCATTTTTAGCCATTTGGGGGCAAAAAATGGCCTGAAAAATGGCCTGAAAACAGCCCGAAAAACAGCCTGATTGGGAGCCATTTTCAGGATGTTTTCAGGAAGATTTTGGCTGGAAAAGTGGCCTGAAAACAGCCCAAAAAGCATCCTGAAAATGCCCCCCAAATGGCCTGAAAATGGCCCCAAAATAGCCCAAAAAGCAACCAAAAATGGGTGGGGGTGGGGCAAGCCAGTGGTGGGATTAGTCCCAACTGGCTGAATCTTACCTTTTCCTTTGAGGTGAGTGGCCAAGAGGTGGGGCTGGGTATGATGAGTGACATCACCCACCCAGTCACATGACCAACCGGCCACGCCTACCCAGCCAGAGAACCGGTTGGTAAAAAAATTTGCAGCCCACCACTGACTTCAATCTATAGTTTCCCAATGATTTGGAATGAAAATGTGGGTCCTCTCTGAAGACAGATCCTTCACGCTACTCAGTCATTCTGTTTTTCCCTTAAGTTTGATGTTTATGTGGAGAATGAAGACATTTCTTTAAAGAAAGAAACAGAAAAGTGTCCTGTTTTAACCTTCATCTTTCTTTCTTTCTTTCTTTCTTTCTTTCTTTCTTTCTTTCTTTCTTTCTTTCTTTCTTTCTTTCTTTCTTTCTTTCTTTCTTTCTTTCTTT